ATTCGTTTATTATTAACCATACATTAAAGCAATATTGCATTGCCTATTTACATTTTGACTTTGACAAATTTTTCGATTGTCGGGCTCGTTGGTGTAATATTATTTGCTAATAAGTCGACTACGCATCTTCTTTAGATATGGCGTGAGTGTTTACCTACCATCGAGTGGACTATCTGTAGTAACTATTAATCACTAGCTGTGCAGCTTCGTCCGCGAGAATCGTTATTTTGGGCATCCAAATTAGTTTTTGCAAACCCCGTCACCTTTATAAACTTAGGCTGTTAACGATGACGTCGATCGCATCCCTTCCCGTCGTTCTTGCAAGTTAATCATAAAAGATATACATATAGCGTCGTGGACTTTTTTTAGATCATTTAAAGAAGAATCATTTTTATCATTTTTTAGGTATCTTGAACCGTTTTCGCAACGTACGCATCTGACGCCTACAGAGATGAAAATTTTCCCCCTTTTTGTTCACATTTCCCGCTGTATCTTCGCTTCTATAAGTCACAGCGCGATGTTTTATAAACTTTTTCGATAAATGCTCTAACCAACACAAAAAAAAAAAATAATTCGAACCCGTAGTTCCTGGAATTAGCGCGTTGAAACAAACAAACTCTTCAGCTTTATATATTAGTATAGATACAGATTGAATTTGCTAGCATTAAAAAAAAACACAAATTACTCATTGACTTATGATATACCATTATAATATGATTGAAGTACAAGCAAAGGCTTATAATTTTAATGTGTTTTCCAATTTCCAATATGAAAAATAAATCGAACATGGGAGACAGCAATAATGTGAAGTTTAATACCATTAAGTCGGTCTTTGGGACCGGGCGGGCGATAAACAAGCGATGACAATGCACGGGGAAATCCACTCAACTAAATTAACTCGCTACTTGTTACTGCAATAGGCTGCCTGTTACAACGTATACGACGTCCTATCGTAGCTATCAGTGGTAGTATTACACATTTAAAACTGCATTAATTTGCGGGCAATGTATTCGTAGGCAATTATAAAATATATTATAATACATTGCCAGTTGAGGTTTCAAATTTATCAATAAATAAGTTCAAAAAAGTCGTAAAATTCAGATTGTCTCAAAAGGCGTATTATTGTTTAAAAGACTTCTTTAATGACAGGGGCTGCCTGATAGTGACATGAATTGCTCCTTAGGTCATTAAATTCACTAAAATGTATTAGTTTGTAAGAATGTTGAAAAACTGAGTTTCTGGGGTGTTCTTCTCGGTTATGTTGTTCTTTTGAACACTCTGTAGAATCACGACGAACGGACAGACAAACATATTGTTTTTTTTGACAAATCTAAATAATTTTTATAATTTTACAGGGAATAAAGTATATTTTTTTTTTATTTATTTTAAATACTTAAACCTTTGATGGCCTCGTTGCTCTAATGGTAACAATGTATGGCTAATTATCACCGGGTCGTGGATTCGATCCCCACCATTCTTCCATTTATAATTTTTCTGAAACACGTTGGACATCGTCTGGACATCTGGATATTAAATGGTTGGTAGGAATATCGAAATTCTGTCCGGGGCACGACCACCGTCCATAGATGAAAAGACGTGAATTTTAATTGCGTTTCAGTTTCAATCTGTGGATTTCCGAATATGCAAACCCTAAATAGGTCGACCGCGCATGTGAGTGGGGTTTTAGGTGTATGCAATTTTTGCGATTCGATTTTAACCAATATTAGTTTGTCTAATTAGGCTGTTGAAAATGGCTACATTGCTTTTCAATCCACGTAAAATTGTAAGCTCAAATGTGTTATAATGTAGACAATTATCTGAAACTTATAAATAGAAAATAAGCCTGAAGTAACTAAAGTCTTTCTTATTCTATTGTTCTATATTCAATTACATATTAATTCACATAATGTGGAAAAGAATTCGTATAATTTCAAGATACGGTGTGACAGGCAGCCTGTAAATTTTATTTGTGTTTCGTATAGGAAACCGATACCGTACCATCACTCGTATGAACCGACGTAGAACCAACAAATGTGTTGGATTGTTTGGAAAAATGTCAATGTTGGTTCATTATTCCAATCGATGTCGTGTTCCAATGCGTATAATTGTACTATTCATTTTACGATCATTAAAAATCTGTAATCAAAACAATTTTATACTGTCTATAGTTTACGCGAGTTGTACACATTTAAATAAAACACTTTAACGGTTTAAACACGATATATTAGTTAAACTTATTTGAAGTTGATTTTTAACTTCGGCCCGACGTTTCGGATGTTGAACGGGAGACTAACAATTTTGTCATTATCATAATTGTTGTAAGAGAGCTGGAAATGGCTTATAAAACTTATTTTTACATAATAATATTAATGAAATTCACTTTACTTCAATCTTAATACTTAACGTATTTAAATAAAACCCATTAAAATACGTTATATATTAGACGTAGAACTATTTGTTTAGTTTTAACATTAAACCTGTCTTAATAAATATTGCGTCTTGAGCAAATGTTATGACATAAGGAATATTCTTCCATTTTTGTTACGTTTAAACAAGAAACTTCATAAGAATTTCACGGTACATTTTCCAGTACTATTCATATTATGTCTTTAATATTGTTTTATTGAGAACAATGTTACATTGCAAGAATGTCAGCGTTTCCGCAGAGGAAGGAGGGCTGGGGTACGGCGCCAGTATGACTAGACGTTATGTCTGGTAACATCTTTAGAGCTTATTTGCTTTGAGTGCTGCCAGATGTATGAATTTCATAGATTTTTATCCCACATTTTCGGTAAAATCATTTATATCATATTGGACGTCCTTAAATATTTCATATTTGGTTTATACAAAAACAAAACTGTGTGATTGGCAGATTAAAATATTTAGCTGACGCTAAGCTGTAGAATTTTATAATACTGAATTACATAATATGACAATTAAAAGAAAAAACAATGCTCTCCTTTGATTTGTTTTTAATTTTGATAACATTAAACTGTAATTATGTACATAACTTTTTTATTATAAAAATATATTCTTTTTCGCCTAGACCTTCCCAAATACAATTTATCGATTCAAAAGCTCCCCGATACATTTTCACAAGTCCGTTATAGTTAAGAAAATAAACAGACGACCACCCTAAAAGACACAGTTCCGTTTGGCGCCCGCCAGTCTGCCGGCGTAAGGGGAGCCAAAATTATTGATAAACTGCTTTGAGTCGCTTTAACACTGCATCTCTTTGTGGCTCGAACTTGTACCATTAGGTTATTTGCTACCTTTTTGAAGTATTTCTATGGAATTCGTCTATTTCTAGCAATTTTAAAAACGTCAAGCGATAACTATCAACATACTAGTATATTTTTAAGACGATATTAAAGAGGATATGTAACTATTTTACTACATTATTAATTTATAACTATCAATAATTGCTGTGTAGATTATGTTTTTTTTTTAACGTTAAAGTGCGAGTTGTTTGGCATTTTTTTATAATACATTATTTTGATAAGCCCGGGTACACAACTTGATTATTGTACACTACCTACCCTTATTTCGCTCGTGGAAAAAGAGGCTTCGTACTTTTCCTATTTTAAAGCTTTTGCCCATGTTACGGACCTGTTAGTAGAAATCAATTTTTAGCTATAATTAATATGAACTAAGTCAAGGTTTGAATTATTTTTTCTGAAACATGTTGGAATTAGTCTCGGAATTTTGGGAAATGCGAGGTAGGAATGTCGTAAGTCAGTCCACAAACCACCGCGACCGTAAAAAAAAACCTGTACAGATAAATAGGCCATCTTGATATATGTAACGCTGGGGTTATTTACCTTCCATTCTCCTCTATCATAAAAAAATAACAGTCAGCATAGACAAGGCCAAATAAATTTTTTTTTTTAAATAATCTTATCAACTCGGTACTTTCTAGCGTAAGAATACAAGGAAAAGCCTCTTGTAAGATAACATTGATAGAGCAGCAATTCTCGTAAACCTCAAAAAGGTCTATCTGGATGCTTTGACCGCCACCGTCTTGAGATAACTGTAATGATCCCTAATTACTGTTCTTGTACTTCAGATAAAGCTGGGTTTGTAATCGGATTTCCTTAGATAAGTTGTGGGAACACAGATCTGTTATTTCTTTAGTTAGTCCCTATAATTGACTACATATTGGTGTGCAGTATATTATTATTGTGAGAAATTCATCATTAAATACAAGTACCTGTGATTACTAATGTCAAATACGATCAAATGAAATGAAAAAATTAGATGTTGGCAATTTTAAACGGTATATTAAAAAAAATATGTACACGAATGACGTACATTTTTATAACCTTATTATTACAATCATAAAGTTACTAAATAATAGTTTTCATGTAAAATTAATTGTAAACTTTTGTAATTGCTTTTATTCATAAGACACATGCGGCAAGAAATATTTTAAACGGAAATCGATGGATACAAATTTTCCGTCCTTTACCGATGTTAATGACAACCAGAAGAAATATCTTCTTGTAGCATCGATCATGAAGGAGAGCAGTATACACAAATTACAGTCCAAGATCAATGTCTTGTATAAATGCCTGTTTACAGGCATTCTAATAGATATGCCGTTACATAAACAAGCTTCGCGTGCCTGCCCCCGATTACCAACTCGCTAATATTTATCTACCTTGAAAGCCTCGCAACTTTACTAATTTAAACCTTCTTAACAGTTTTCTTTAGTTCTTAGCATAATTCATTATTTACCGCCCCATTTTAGACAATATTTATTTGAGTTGTTAATTATTACACCAATTATATGCAATTATAAGAATTAGAACCCAGTTTTCTAAGGTACTCTAATCAATTAAGCTTCTGTGTTCAAGCTAGGGCACCGTGGCGCATTTTATTAGAGCAACAGCACGGAATCCTGTTGCTGCTGATTTTAAATGCATCAGGTGAAAAATATCAAAGTTTGTTTCGTTCCAGGTACTACAAATGTGTAGTGAAGCGTGACCTTCAGAAGCACGATGAGCCAATGGTTGCTCATCTTTGCCATCGTATTCATCAATGTCAGAGGTACGTATAAGAACTAAAACTTTTATCTACCTCCATGAGACAATCGGAATTATCCAATGAGACATGACGATCCATTTAAAAAAAAATATATACACAAAAAGAAACGCCTTTGTAGTGTTCATTGCCTAGCCGAAGAGATTAACTACCCAATAAACATAATTGAATAGATTTTTATTTCGAATAAGACTAAATAATAAACAATACACCTATATATATACAATTTTAACCTTAGATATATGAGATTGATACAACCCATATCTTTCAGATATATCTGGCAGCTGGGAAGAATGGTGGACATACGATGGCATATCAGGTGAGATTTATTTTTAAATGCATATATAACTAACTAACAGAAACGTATCCGTATTTGGATAGCTACGTCAATCTTTTAATGGTTAAAAACGCGAGATATTGTAGTTACCTTATATACAATTTATTGTAATTACGGCCCGACGTTACGGATGCTTTGCAGCAGCCATGGTCACGGTGGGACATAATTTCAAAGTGTTTCATTTAAATGTGTACCGCTTAAGTAAACTACATACAAAATTTACATCATACAAAGGTCTAAAGGCACGCCTACAGCTACGAAACTATGCCGCTACGCCGTAGCGCCGTAGTTTTGTAGCAGATCTGAAAGCTCGTCCAGTACTGATAGGCATGCGAGGAATGGTTATTTAAGGCTATGTTGATAGTATGCATTTTTTAAATAAGATTTTTAAGTAATTATATCCACACACAACATGATACAAATGCCTGCCAGAAGTAAAAACAGTAATTAAAAAGTATGAAGTATTTTGAAACTGAAAATCTAATCTTAAATACAAATTTTCTCATTCGACATATTATGTTATATACTCTTTGTTTAAAGCAGCGTAAGAACTGCTAAATATGTAATTACTTAATTTACTCGTAAAATAATAAAAACGTTTATAAAGAAACATCTCAATTTCGAGAATTACACAAAAAGGTCATAGCAATAAGAAAGGACAATATCACATATAACGACGCGCGTGATAAAAGTAATGATAACTGATAAGATCTTAATGACAGTCACGCCCAATACTTTATTCGATGGAATTGTTTGAATTATTTACGGGCTCTGCCTTAATTTTGTGTTTGTTGAATTTTTATGTGAATGAAAATTCATGTTCTATGGATATGTACACCTATAATTTTGACTTATATAATGAGAGCTTTAACACATTAAAATAAAACAATTTTAACGGTTTAAAATGCGAAATATATTAGTTAAATTATTTACAATTTAATGTACGTACTACTTATAGGAATCCAAAACGTCAGGCCACAGTTCAAATACATTGTAAATAAGCGTTACGTTTGTTTTAAGTCGTTTGTTATTTAAATATGCACTACTCGTGTAATCTTTTAGATTGTTAAAAATCGAATTTTAAAATTGAATTTTGATAATTTCTTAAACTGCAATCAATTGATTGTTGTAATGAATTCTAATCCCGCGCATGTCATCAATTTCGCTTTTTTAAATACCCTTATAGAATCCAAATGTCATATCATTTTCACGACCGGCTATAATAATAATGAGAAATCTAGATAAATATAACGATCATATCTATTGACATATTTCTTTAGAAAAATCAGAAGTCCGTATCTGTAATAAGATAAAGGTGTTTAAAATATATCGAACCTAGAAAACGTTAATCCTAATATTTAGTACTTAAGTATAAGTCATATAGCCATTAGGAGTGTTACATATTCTTTAAAACACTTTCAACTTTTTTATCGTTGATCAATGGCTATAAAGCGTCTGAAAGATCACGTCGCAGTTATAAAATAGAACTTAGACGCTGTTTATACCCGTTCTAAATTAAATCCTATATTTCAGTAAAAGCTATGGTCTATAGTACAGTCACCGTTATTCAAATGGACATTGAATAGTCACTATTTCCCGATATCGTTGAATAGCAAAATTCCTATCCCAGTGCATTGAGCCGTGTTTAATGTAGCATTAGGGTATACCCGGGATTCGGAAGTCATTACCCTGAACGGTCATTAACCGCATTTGTTACGGTTTTTTTGGCTATCTTTAGTTAATGTATGCAGTATACATTAGCCAAAAAATAACTGGCCCCTAAAAAGTGAGTATTAAAGTCATTAAAAGGTGTAAGATTTCTTATCTAGGTCGTATATGTGGAAATTTGTACTTTAAAATACCCGCTTTTACTGGTCTAAGACGCGAAATAATTACAAATATCAAAGTGAAATCTGCTTCCGAACATAACGGATATCATCCATCTTTAGTCCCTCTGTTACCAAGGATGCACTGAAGACGATGGATAAAAGAGTTAAATAATAATATATTTCTTCACATTGTTTTTTTTACGGGTTGTTCGGCCGACGTGAGTGAGAAGAGGTTCTCGACGTTTCGCCATCAAGAGCGGACGCCATTATCAGGAGAAAGATGGCTCTCTCACGTCATCTTATTTTGAACCGTTAAAAGTTTATTTTAAGTCGAACACCACGGCTATAGCGTTCTTTTTGGCACGATCTTACTGATTTTTCTAAATTCATTCAAATGAATACTGAAGTGTGAATAATTTATGGACTAATCTTATACGACATGATTACATTTTCTTTTATATATACATATTCAAAAGTAACATAAGTTCGTAATTTAAGAAGAAATATTTACTTGGTAACAGTTGCTTATAATATAACATATCTACCCACCTACTCGTAACGTAGATCGAGACATATTTAAGAATCCATTTATCTTCGCAGGTCCAGGTTTTTGGGGTCTGATTAATCCCCAATGGAGCATGTGCAATAAGGGAAGACGGCAGAGTCCCATCAACATAGAACCAGACAAATTGCTTTTCGATCCTTGGTTAAGAGATGTACAGTTTGACAAACATAAAGTGAGTATGAAATATATGAATAACAAAGAATATTTCTATAGAATACAGAATTATATAAAAAAAAATTATTCAATATTTTTCAGTAAAGTCTTTCAAATCGTTATTTTAATTACTTTTATAAAATTTTGCCACATTCTCAAGTCCTCAGTGATATTGATATAAACCTAAAATTTATTTAGCCTAGACTTTGTAAATCCATTTTTAATCATATCATGATTATGTTTAAAACAGAGGTCATTGAACCTGAATTTTTTGAATAAGCCACCATTATAAAATTATTTCAGCAAAATTAATCTCCTTTTCTCCCAAGCAGATTGGTGAATATCTATTCCAATTGAATATTAAATACAGTAATAAAAGTTATCTACTACCTTCGCCGGAAAGCTAACAGCAATTTTCTATGTAAAATTAGTATAAATCCCCATAAAGGAAACAAAAAAGGCCGCGATAAACTATCGTATGTTTATTCATTGTTTAGCGCAACCCTCACTCGTAACCCGATAATCGCAAAATGTTTGAAATTAACATAGGAATGGCCAGTAATCCACCCAAACGTTGTTAAGTCAACTGAGCCTGAATTTAAGCACCAAGTACATTGCTTCTTACATTTGAAATTCGCTATTCTATTTGATAACAAAAGCGTCGATGTTTAAGCAACATATGCAAATCGCACGAGCTCTACAGATTATGTTTTTATGCGCTAGTTTAGTTATGGGTTGGATTTGACATTTACGAAAATTACACACATTTTATAGCAATACATAAAAACGAAAAGCCAACATGTTTCCTTTTTTTAAATTATGTATCGTTGATTTTTTAAACTTAAAGTAGCATTTCAGAAAGAGACTGTTCATTATATTTTCCGGAACCCGAACCTAGGACTTCTGCGCTTAACGAAATTCCAACCATGCATCATCGTAGGCAGTCGAGTCACACAGATGTACTATAAAAATAAAAATGTTATTATTTGTATCGTTTGTTTTAAAATTTAAATTCTACGATTACACTAGCCGGTTTGAACTTAAGACCGATAGTGTATCGCTGCTCTGTAATATGAGCACTTTAATATTCTTTAGATATTCGCCTCTTGCGCTAGTATCCTTAACTCTTTGATAGTTCTCAGATACAACTTCATTTAAATGATAAATCCTATATGCACCAATTTTTTAAAAAAATTCCTAAGTCAAGGTAACATATAACAATATATATAAAAGGGACAGTTGAAGGTTAAAATTTAGTGCTGGCACAAAAACGCGTCGTGAATCGTGATAGCGTGCTAGATAGCATATCGCACTTCGCATGCATTAGCATGGAATTACCGCCGTAATTCAGTGCATATGAATTATTCTCTTACGTACACCCCACCTTGAATACATATTATAAAGCCTTTGACTTCTATTTGTATATTAGTAATTGCATAAATGGATCCCTATAAATGGGTTGTCACAATATTCCTTTAATAATTAAATACTTGATAAAAAGCGGGTAGTCTAACAAATGTAGTATCCATTTGTCCTAGTACTCAAAATACAGCTTTATAAAGTTTCGATTTCTTGCCATTGTCAATATATAACTAAATTCTTATTTCAAACTTTGTTGAAGTTTGAATTTTTCTTTAATTTTAAAATTCACTATGACTTATCGCTAATTAAAGCTTAGAAGACTCAATTAAACTAGATGCATTAACCGCATAAGATTTGGGTTCGAATCCTTATTTTAACTGATAGTATGTTTGCACGCCCACGTTTGGCATTTGTGACGTGGAGAGTCCCACTACGGTGAAACCATAGCATTGTAATCGAATCTCTGGACAACATAAATAATAAGTTTGGGCCAGGCAGAACCAAGAAGCCCAATTTGTCTTGTCTATGAAAAAAAAATCGATCAGTGACACATAATACATAAATATGTGTGTCACATACCCTATAGAAAAAGAAGAAAGGACGTCACGTCATATAAAAACAAAGCAGAGAGTACTAATTAACATATATCAATAAATCGCGTTTCAATCAGTTTATTTGAGGATTTCTTTTATTTTCCTTTTCAACAACGTGAAATGAACTCCTTATCTCCTTATTTTCATAACGAAAAGTCATCCAGGTGGAAACAAATGACTGGCGTTCGCGTGTTAACAAGCAATAACTCATCTTAAGCCAAAGCGTGCGTTTGCCAGGTTTTAATCAAGGTGTGACCGATTGATTGATTGAAACTAAACCACTAGTTAGTTCCCTCATTCATTACGCATAGAGTTTCTGCTGTTAGATTTTTAATTTATTAATTAAACTGAAATGAAAAAATCGAGTTTAGGTTAAAAATAAAAAATAAACAAATGGCTTTGTTGTCGTCAGGTAAAAATTAGTCTTAACGCAAAAAAAAAAAAAAAAAAAAAAAAAAAAAAAAAAAAAAAAAAAAAAAAAAAAAAAAAAAAAAAAAAAAAAAAAACCCCCCCCCCCCGGGGAAAGGGGGGGGAAAAAAAAAAAAAAAAAAAAAAATTAAAAAAAAAAAAAAAAAAAAGGGGGGGGAAAAAAAAAAAAAAAAAAAAAAAAAAAAACTCGGGGCTGAAAATTTGGGGGGGGGTAAAAAAAAAAAAAAAAATTTTTTCAAAAGTTGAAAAAAAAAAAAAATAATAATATAGAATATAGGAAAAAAATTTTTCTTTTTTTTCCAAAAACAACGGAAGCCCCCAAAGGAAAAAAGTTTTCCCCGTTTTTATCACATTTACTACTATTTCCACGCTTCTATTGGTCGCAGCATGATGTTGTATAGCTTAAAATATTAAGCTCCAATTTTTTTATTCGAACGAATAGTTTCAGTGAGATTAGCGCCTTTAAACTTTATAGAGGTATTTACAATCCAACTTTCTGAAATAATAAAATTGCAGTTAGTTAACAAAAGCGTTAGTAGATAAATTATTAGTTGTTATGTGAACATATAGTTTTATAATAATATTTAATTGTCAACAGGTAAGCGGTGTCCTACAAAACACAGGGCAATCTCTTGTATTTCGGGTGGAGAAGGACTCCAAACACCAGGTCAATATAAGCGGAGGTCCCCTCTCTTATCGATATCAGTTCGAGGAGATATACTTCCACTATGGACTGGAGGATAATAGGGGATCTGAACACCAGATTGACCATCACACATTTCCTGGGGAGGTAAACCAATTTTACTGGCTGTTGCAGAAAATTATGCTTATTAACGTTTAAGTTGGGGATATTTATTATTTGTTTCTTTATAAAACTAAACAGCGCTGTCTCTTATAATATTAACATAGTACCTAAGATATAAATTTAAAAAAATGCTTCACATGAAACCAAATTAAAAAATAATAAAACAAATTAGACAATTTTGAAAGAAAACCTTAAATCATTATTCAGGAACCAATATGATTAAATGCTTTAAAAAGTAAAAGAAGACAAAATGAAACTGCCATTATAATTTCGCGTTCAATTTTATCTAAGCGAAGTTAATCAGCTCGGTCGCAAATTAACACCTCAAAGTTATCGTTATCAGGTGGTTATTGCTCTCCGAGGACAAACTTCTAGTCCTTTACAACTTTAAACAATCGCTTAAAATTTTGCATACAACGTCTGGAAACCATTATGTGTTTAATGAACTATGAGATAAAAGTTGTTATATCTATAGATTTTTTCAAAAAAGCTCTTACCCGTTCCCACGGCTGGGATTCACACCGACCACGCTCATGCCAAACTAGTGTTGGTTATATAACACATGATATTTACCCATGTTGATTTATATTTCCCTGTTCATTAAAAATATAAAGATAAAAAGAATATCCGAAGTAAAACTAAAATAAAAATCAATAATCGAATGTATTACTTTTAAAACCGTCAAATGTGTTTTGTTTAAACATAAAAGGGATTTGCATTAATTACATTTTTATTTACAGATTCAATTGTATGGGTTCAATAAAGAACTGTATCATAATATGTCTGAAGCTCAACACAAGTCACAAGGAGTTGTAGGAATTTCATTAATGGTTCAGGTAACATCATTATCATTATTTCTTTAACATTCTTTAACAGTCTTAAAGTGGGACTTAGGGTCTTAGACACGCGGTCTCGGATGTTTGATTTTAGAATATGTTGGTTTTCTTATGACGTTTTAATCGGAGAATAAGACGTGGATGTACTAGCACGATCGGGGATCGAACCGTACACCTCACGAACAAAAATGGGTTGTACACCTCCTACCAAAGAATATTAGTATTACACATACATTTTTTTAAGTTTTTCTAAATGCATTTGTGTTTTCAGATTGGGGAGCCAACTAATAAGGAATTAAGGCTTATTACAAGTGCTTTTAATAAAGTTATGTTTAGAGGTAAAAAACATTTATAAATAATCAACTACATTTGACTTAGACGTAAGGATTATTCAGCCCCCGGTGACGACGGCTGTCACGCATCCGCAACTTCAAAATAAAATACTTTTCTCGTTTTAAACAGTTAACAGAATATTATTTAAAGTTATTTTTATTTGATAAATTTGAAATAATTTTGTAAATAAAAAAATGTTTACCTGAATAAAATAAATATTTGTGTAATTTTTAATGTATTAAAAATTTTCTTATAGTACGAAAATTGTGTTCACAAGAAACTCATTTGTTTGTTTAAACGTTATTGTTTTTTGCAGGTAGTTCATATCCAATAAAGCATTTACCTCTCAGTTCACTATTGCCAAATACACAGCAATATCTCACATACGAAGGGTCCACCACACATCCTGGATGCTGGGAGACAGCTGTGTGGATTATATTCAATAAACCAATTTATATATCAAAGCAAGAGGTTTGTATATACAATTATATTTCTAGTTCATATAATTTCTTATTCTTTAGTAATTAAATTAATATTAAACGTAATAAATTAATTAATATTTAAAATGGTAATTGCTTACTTTTGTTATAAAAGTTATAGACATACACTACACTTTCTATAACGGAAACACTTGTCTTTGTTTGGATTGCTAAACAATCGTAGTGAACAAGAAGATGTAAAACCTGAAGAGCTGGTTAAAATTTAATCTTAAAAGATAGCGTAAATTCTGTCGAGAACTTTTTTTTAGATTATTTTTGAACAATAATTATTTTGTACCAATTTTTGAATATTCATAACCGTTTACTTCCTTCCTTTTTTCCACATCTCCCACTGTTTCTTAGCTCTTATTACTTGGAGCCTGATTTTTAACAGCCTAGCCTTCCTCGATAAATAGTTCAACTAACAATTTTTCAATTCCCACTATCAGTTCCTAATAGCAAGTTGAAACGAACAAGCAATTTCTTCATCTTTATAATATTAGTATAGGTTATTGAACATACACTTTGATTTCCACCAGATGTACGCAATACGTCGTCTGATGCAAGGATCCCAGTTGACTCCTAAAGCGCCACTTGGAAACAACGCACGCCCCGTTCAACCCCTGCACCATAGGACTGTCAGAACGAACATCAACTTCAACAAGCAGGGACTACCGGTATGTATTATTTCAATTCAATTCACTTCAAAAGATGAAAAATATACCGATATTACTAATGGCACAGTACCTTATGTCGATAGGCTCGTTGGTCTAATGGTAGCAATGTGTGAATCTTCGTGGGTTCGACCCCCGGTTCCAACACTTTACTAATCAATTTTTCTGAAACATACTCGTCTGATTAAATACTGTCTATAGTTTTCGCGAGTAGTACACATTTTAATAAAACACTTTGACTGTTTAAAACGCGATATACTGGTTTAACGTATATGAAACTGATTTTTAACTTCGTCAGAGACATCCTCCATCTTTAGTCTCCTCGTGACCACGGCTGCTGCAAAGCATCCGAAACGTCGGGCCGAAGTTAAAAATCAGTTTCAAATAAGTTTAACTAATATATCGCGTTTTAAACCGTTAAAGTGTTTTATTTAAACATACTCGTCTGTCTTTATTTATCCTAAAAAAACTGTAAAATATAAGCTCAAATTTATAATTTAGTGACAAACTTACATTGCAACAGCCTAAGATATAGGCGAATGAAAGCGGTAACTAATATTGATAAGTCCATGTACAAGAGATAGAAGAGACGTAACGCGTTAAGCAATAAATTAGCTTAAAATAAACTTTAAAAGTAGCAAATAAGTTTTACTTTTACTTTTGGTTTGACGATTTATAACCCGAGATAACAAATTGGTGATGATAGGAACACCCATCGTCAGAACGGCTGCTGAAAAGCATCAAGAACTTTGGGTCGTATTTAAAAGTTATTTAATACTGCATTTCACCTTTTAGACCATTGAAATTGTAATTTTTAAAATAAGAATATGGCAACACACTTGCCTTGTGTAACGTATTTCTGTAAGCTGTACAGTGGTTTCGAGCCATCCTTCTGTTGCTAGGCAAGTTAAGATAGATGATACCTGAAACTTCCCGATCTTTATCATCACCTGGCGCAAATTGCTCGAGTTTCGTATTTATTCTCCTTTATTATGAGTCGTAACTCAGTTCTAGTTGCCTACTTATAATAGAAGTGCAATAATAAAACTTGCTTCTCATTACAATCGAGCAGTTTAGATTCACATAAGTTTTAAAAGTTTAATATATAATTAAGTTTTTTATTCTATACTTCTAGACTTTTGGAAGTGATTTTATCCTCTATTTTTGATAGAAACTTGGATAAATACTATCTGAAGCTTACGCGAGTAAAATAAAATACTTCTGACGGTGTAAAACATGGTTTAAATAAATTGTAATTGAGTTTAACTAATAAATTAGTCCACATATTCACCATTTATTCTGTATCTATACTATAAATTATAAAACTGAAGAGTTAGTTTGTTTGTTGTTGGATAGACCAGCTATTTAAGAGGTTGTTTGGAAAAATTAATACTATGATGCCCAAAATAACTATTCTACGCGGACGAAGTCGCGGTCACAGCTAGTATAAGTATATATCAGAAATAATTAAATGGAAAACGCTAAAGACGCCTAAGCCGTTTCCTGACAAATAATTATAGAAATGTCGAGGCAATAAATAGCGGAGATCCTCAGCTCTAAAAGCCATGTCGTAGCCAAGGCGTGAAATATAATTACAAGCGAAGCTCAAACCTTAATTAATTAACTTAGCACCCTGCGGTCTGCTGTGAGACGGCGGATTATTTGTAAACGTGCTCCTATAAATGCACAAAATCAAATTAATGGAAGCATTGGAAGTCTTTTTTCGTGATAGAGGAGGACAGAAAAGCTTAATAAAATCTACGCAAGATACTGCGACTTATATTGACGTTGGATATTCGGAAATCCAAAGACTGAAACCGGAACGCGATTAAACTTCGAGGCTTTATCTGTGAACATGTTTAAATCGTGTGCCAAGGATTTAACACACATTTAATATCTATTTTTCCAGATAAAGTCGTTAAAGTTATTTAAAAATCGAAAATAAATTGAAAAAATTCGACTCGGGCAGGACTTGAACCGGCATCGTCAGCGTTCCGTGCTGTTGCTCTACTAATTGACCTACCTACATCGGTTTCAATTTCAAACTCAATTCCCGTTTATAATGAGCCATGCATTGCTACCATTACACCAATCAGTCGCAGCAGCAGCGGTCTCTCAGATTTTTGTTTTTTAAAGGATAATAAAATCATGCTGTTATATATTTATAAAGTGAATTATAGACTTAATTACTTCTATACATTAATATTTTTTGGTTTATGAAACTCTTAAGTTTTCTCAATTATCGTTGAAGATTTTCCTGACACAATTTTTCTTTCAGACTTCAAGCAACTGCCCAGATATGTACCGGAATATGCACTATACAGGTAAAAATACCTCTCTCGTATGTTTTATAATTTCACATGCATCTTGATTTTAAACATCATTGGTAGTAGACGTCTTTTATGCGACAAGTCATACACAAATTATATCTGTGTTAATAAAATATGGATGTTTTAAGGACAAAAACATTTTTACATGCATTTTTTTTAATTGGAATGTCATTAAAAATTCTATCCTGTATATTTTATCAATAGCTTACTTATATCTTTTACTATGCATGTCTGACGCACAAGGTTTAATGCTCACGATATTTTGACTAATAGTATTTTGTATTGCACGATAATGGTGGAATGTCTGTATCCAAAGCCAAATAGGACGACAGCGCATCTTGGTGAGATGCTATAGGCTGGGATATATCAGCTACCATCAAGTAAACCCCATGCCATGTCTGTCCTCCTCTAACATTAAAAAAATCTTCAAGAAGATTTATGTACTATTTAAATATAATGTTTTTAGTATTATTATATTTAAAGCAGCCAGACTTTGATTGTTGCTCTTTTAAGCACTCTGTAGAATCATGACGAACAGACAAACAAACATTTTTAGAAATCTAAATAATTTTTTAAATTTCAAAGAGATTAAATTACATTTTATTTTATTTTATTAATATACTTGTTTAATTATCATTATTAGTTTCAAGCCGTTTTATTTTCACTATAATTTTAGTCTTGCTCCTGGACAAAGGTTTACTTCAATACAGGAAACCGTGTAATAGCTTAACTAGTGACGATAACCGAGACAGTACCTGTTGTCTAACATTTTCTCGAGCAGGTTTCGAACCAGGGACCTCCGAGTCTGCTCTCATTTACATTAAGTATAAGACCACGAGTAGAGATTATTTGAACATTCTCCCGTCTCTTGTACACTCGTTATTTAATTACAGCACGTTATTCCCGCAAGGCACGAACGAAAAAGAGCATTGCATGCAAAAGAAAGATGTTTTCAAAGAAAATGTGTCACAAAAAATAGGTACAGCCTGTACAGGTGGCATGTTCCGCCGCGTATTATTTGCCGTGATTAAAATATTTTGTTGCTCGTTGCCCTGTTAATACTGTCTAGCTTTGTATGTTTTAATTACTGGACCCTTGCTGTGATTTTATTGTTGCGCTATGATGTTGCTGCAAAGTTTTCACGTAGTTTTTTAGTAATCATACTAATAGTACTTTGTAGTATTGTATGTCTATGGTTAGAACTCGGGGTAGAATTTTTAATTATTTAGGCTGTTTATTAATTTATTCAAGGGCGCATTTAAGGCAGTCAATCTATGTTGTAAGTGCTACTTTGCCGCAACACTCACTTCCACTCCCACTCCTATTCCCCAAACGCCAAAGAAGAAAGTTTCATTGTTCTAGCTTCAAAAACCACGAATTTCCATACAAACTTTCATCCCCTTTTTCAACCCTAATCAACCCTTTTTTGACATTATAATTCTATGTCCTTTCTCAGGCTCTAAAATATCTATGTACTAAATTTCATTTAAATCAGTTCAGTAGTTTAGGAGTTAAAGCCGGACAGACAGACAGAATTACTTTCGCATTTATAAAATTAAATATAGATTTGAAAACATTAATATTTTTCACATGTTATTGCACATGAAGGCACTATACATATAATTTAAAAATCGAAAATAAATTGAAAAAAAAAATATTTTCGATTTTTAAATTAAATATAGATGTCGAAGCATTTACATTTCTTCAAATCTGTGTAGTTGTAGAGTGTGTTGAAACATGCTCAGTAGTTAACGCACTTGTCTATCTGCTTATGTAGTTTGTGTAAATGACTTGTAATAATTGTTTATAATAGGTTGAATAATCTGCACAATCATTAGTGAAATTTCGTGTCCCTCAATATATCCCACATTTGGGAACCGAATAAAAGAAAAAAGGGTATTTTCCGTGCTGATAAATTTCATGATGCCTCAGATATGTCAATTTTTTTCCGGTGATGATTTTCTACATCACAAAGAATGTAAAATCTACACATCTTCTGGATCGAACTCCCGACCCCAAATACGTAACTCGGGAGCTAGTTCCACTAGACCAAACAGATGTGAGCTTTAATGTATAAAGATATATGGCGAACTTTTTCATTATTCGTTGTAACTTGTTTAAACTTCAACGTTTTTTTGTTATAGCAACACAATGGCCACGCGAACACAACATGCGCTACAGAAGCACCGAAGACTTAGCAATGCTGTCCCCCAATTAAATAATTGTTATCTGTTACCAACTGTTAATAGTGATTGTAACGGCCGAATACTTAGGAAATTTAATTATTTTTCAACGGAATCATTAAATGATTCTTCAAGAAACTTTACTCCACTTTCGTATAACTAAAAGAACATTTTATTTCGTTCTTATTTCATTAGTTTTTATATCGTGTTTTTAGTTGAAATAAAAAATAATCGTTTAGTTTAACAACAATTAATGAAATAACCTCGTCTTTTGCGAACAGGCACAAGTTCGAATCTCGGAGAGAATATAAAAAAATGGTTGGTTTGATTGGTATAATTTCGTGAACTTGTCTATGTTATTACTAATAACTGACGTTTGAGTATTCGGTGTTAAGTTTAACAATCTTATAATCATGTAAAAACCACCATAGTGACTAAAACAATAAAATTAACTTTTCTTTAAACATAATCAATGTAGGGTAGGTAATGCCCAACTATTTATTTTTAAACGGATTGCCAGTTTAATTTCTAATTGAGTTTTTTGACAATTACAGATAGCATACATATTACGAAGATATAGAAAAATAATGCCGGAACAAAATATAACATACTTTTGTTCATACATATGCTAGCATGGTATTTGTATTGATTTTCCCATCAAAAATTTGTTTAAATTAATATTTCAAGCTATACATGAAATGTAATGTCTCATATATTTTAACAGTAGGCGTGGTGTGTTTCTGTAAATAGTTTTGTAAATAAATAAACGACGTATCACGTTTCGTCCACCCTCATACATACAACTAAAAAGCTTTAAGACCATTTTAAAACGTTATTTACCTATAACGTATTAAACTTTACATAGTCGTCTCTTTCTACATTTATTTCTGTATATTGACGTTATAATTATAAATAATATATTATGTCAAACGTTTAAATTACTGTTATTTAAATATAATATAATATGTAATCATTGAAACTGTGTTTATATAATTAATTATGCTAAAAATATATAGTTAAGTGTAATATAATAAAATGTATACAACAAAGCTTATGACTAGCATTTAATCGTAAATTAAGAATTATTTTCATTGTATTTGTATAGGATTTGCTTATTCGATACGTAGTCTAATGTACAGTTAGCATGACTAGCGGTTTAAAAATATATTATACCTACTGCTTTATTTGTATAACGTAATCTGCTGACTGTATTTCTAGGGTCTTTGTGGTAGATTATAGATGCTGTATTGTCCTTATATAAAATAAAGTATTTACGACAAACGCCTTTTTTTAACCATTTCCTTTGGGTAGCAAAATCGAACCATTCACTCTTTTGATTGTTGTGACAAGTAAATACTCATAAATAAAGGTAACTCAAAGCTTAATATAATATAGGTTTTCTAAGCATCTTTAAGAAATATTCTATAAAGTTTCAAATTCAGGAATCAAAGCAACTAATATTACTGCAAACTTCGTAAACATGCTAGAGTAAGTAATTTTTATACTTGCTTAAACTATCTGTTGTCCAAGGTTGAGACAGCAAGTCAGAAATAAGTTAAATACTGTCTATAGTTTACGCGAGTAGTACACATTTAAATAAAACACTTTAACGGTTTAAAACGCGATATATTAGTTAAACTTATTTGAAAATGATTTTTAACTTCGGCCCGACGTTTCGGATGCTTTGCAGCAGCCGTGGTCACGGGGAGACTAAAGATGGAGGATGTCTCAGACGTCAAAGTAAAGAATTGCTACGCTAGCGCCATCTGTTCCGTCGAAGTTGGTATTTGGCGAAACTGGCCGGGTCCTTACAGAATTGACTAACGGTGTCTTCGCGTTTGCTGGTATGCTGTTTATTGGGATCCAGAGTTTTTAATATGGGATCCCAGGTGTTTGATAGTTTGAGGCCGTCCTCCCTATTGAAATTTCGGTGTTTTTTGATTTCAATTGCTTCGCGTACCAATCTTGGAAAAAATCGACTCTCCTTTGCGAGGATTTTTGGTTGGTCAAAGCGAATGTAGTGATTGGGCCCTTCTGATGAGTGTTGGCATACCGCAGATTTGGAGAGACGTTTATGTTTTATATCCGCGACGTGTTCTTTAATTCTGTTTGAGATGCTACGCTTTGTTTGGCCGATGTAGGATAGGCCACAATCACAATCCAGTCTGTAAACGCCTGCATCTTGTAAAGGGATAGTACACTTGCTTGGTTTCAGGAATTGCTGAATCTTCTTGTGCGGCTTGAAAATTGTGTCAATAGAAGCTCGATTTAGGACTCTGCTAATTCTATCTGTAACTCCCTTCACATATGGTAGGTAGGCGGGCTGACGTTTGACTGTGGGTGGCTTGTTCCTGTTCCTGGGATGCTGCGGAGGGACTCTCAGCTTGTTCTTGCATAGGACCTGCTTGACATGCTGTAACTCCTCATTTAAGTGGGCAGCATCACAGAGACGGCGGGCTCTCTGAAACAAAGATACTCCGACAGAACTAAGTTGGCTGGGGTGGTGATGTGAGTCACCGTTCAAATACCTATCTGTATGGGTTGTTTTTCTAAAGACGGTATGCCCAATATTACCGTGTTCATCACGAATTACTAAAATGTCTAAGAAAGGTAGTGTGTTATTGTCCTCCTGTTCCATTGTAAACTTAATGTTATTGTGAATTGAGTTAAGGTGTGTAAGAAATGCAGATACTTGTGCTTTGGGTAAGATGGTGAAGGTATCATCTACGTATCGCTTGTAAAGCTTAGGTTTAACCGGGGAAGAAGCAAGGGCTCTCTCCTCAAAGTCTTCCATAAAAATGTCAGCAACTAAGGGTGAAACTGGAGAACCCATGGCTACCCCATCTACCTGAACATAGAAATCCCCATTCCAAAGTAGGTACCCGGTTGTCAAGCAATGTTCTAAGATATCCGCATATTCTATAGGCATGTTGTGTTTAATAAGTTTGCTCTTAATAATTTTGATACAATCAGCTATAGGTAAGTTTGTAAAGAGTGATGTGATGTCAAAGCTTACCATAACCTCATTGTCCGCTACCTTTAGACCTTTAATAGTTTCTACAAACTGATACGAATCCCTGACGTGAGCATTTGTATTTCCCCTGAGGGGGGCAAGTGTTCTGGATAAGTGTTTTGCTAGTTTATAAGTGGGCGAATCTATTTGACTAACTATTGGACGTAAGGGATTGTTTAATTTATGAATTTTAGGTAACCCGTACATTTTAGGTGGCTTCGGGCAGGCTGTGATGAGATGTTTGGCGTCGAGGTTTAGAGTCGTTTTGTACTTGTTAATAAGTTCCGACGTCTTTTTCATTACTTTGGTTGTGGGGTCCTTTGCAACCTTGTTGTAAACCGCGTCGTCATCAAGTATTTCCGACATCTTTTGTTTATAGTCCGACGTATCCATCACGACCGTGGCGTTTCCCTTGTCAGCACGCAGTACTATAATATCTTCATTCGCTCTTAGTTGTTTGAGAGCAGTCGACTCCGCTAGGGAAAGATTGTGTTTAGGCGGCTTGCTGGAGCGTAGGATACAGGATATATCCTGCCGTATTGCTTCCGCATCTTCCTTAGGGATGACATTTTTGAAGATGCTTTCCTCGACGTAGCTGATTATCTCTTCGCAAGGTATTTTTCGCGGCGCCGGAGCAAAATTTAGTCCTTTGTTTAATACTTGAACGGTGTTTTCATCTAAATTGACTTTTGAGAGATTGACAACTAAATTTTGACATTGACTTTGATTGTCATGACGTTTATACAAGTTAGTTTTGTCTGTGAGTTTTGTAAATTTTTTTTTTTTAATCTGTTTATTTTTATAAATTGTGTATTTATTGAATGATCTAGATGAAAACACCGTTCAAGTATTAAACAAAGGACTAAATTTTGCTCCGGCGCCGCGAAAAATACCTTGCGAAGAGATAATCAGCTACGTCGAGGAAAGCATCTTCAAAAATGTCATCCCTAAGGAAGATGCGGAAGCAATACGGCAGGATATATCCTGTATCCTACGCTCCAGCAAGCCGCCTAAACACAATCTTTCCCTAGCGGAGTCGACTGCTCTCAAACAACTAAGAGCGAATGAAGATATTATAGTACTGCGTGCTGACAAGGGAAACGCCACGGTCGTGATGGATACGTCGGACTATAAACAAAAGATGTCGGAAATACTTGATGACGACGCGGTTTACAACAAGGTTGCAAAGGACCCCACAACCAAAGTAATGAAAAAGACGTCGGAACTTATTAACAAGTACAAAACGACTCTAAACCTCGACGCCAAACATCTCATCACAGCCTGCCCGAAGCCACCTAAAATGTACGGGTTACCTAAAATTCATAAATTAAACAATCCCTTACGTCCAATAGTTAGTCAAATAGATTCGCCCACTTATAAACTAGCAAAACACTTATCCAGAACACTTGCCCCCCTCAGGGGAAATACAAATGCTCACGTCAGGGATTCGTATCAGTTTGTAGAAACTATTAAAGGTCTAAAGGTAGCGGACAATGAGGTTATGGTAAGCTTTGACATCACATCACTCTTTACAAACTTACCTATAGCTGATTGTATCAAAATTATTAAGAGCAAACTTATTAAACACAACATGCCTATAGAATATGCGGATATCTTAGAACATTGCTTGACAACCGGGTACCTACTTTGGAATGGGGATTTCTATGTTCAGGTAGATGGGGTAGCCATGGGTTCTCCAGTTTCACCCTTAGTTGCTGACATTTTTATGGAAGACTTTGAGGAGAGAGCCCTTGCTTCTTCCCCGGTTAAACCTAAGCTTTACAAGCGATACGTAGATGATACCTTCACCATCTTACCCAAAGCACAAGTATTGCATTTCTTACACACCTTAACTCAATTCACAATAACATTAAGTTTACAATGGAACAGGAGGACAATAACACATACCTTTCTTAGACATTTTAGTAATTCGTGATGAACACGGTAATATTGGGCATACCGGGGTTTTTAAAAAAAAACCCCCACGGAGAGGGATTTGTGCGGGGACTCACATCACCACCC